GTGCATGAGTCCACCGCAGCCAAATGAATCCGGTCCAAATACCCTCCAAATCAAATTCCCCTTTCCGCAAGCCATTCCTTCATTCCATGCGCCCTGCCCCTCATCCGCACGTGCCCACTCACGCAAACCGCCATAGACAGATGGTGGCCGCCCAACGCTCCGGCAAAACATGTCCAGCACGCACTCGCATAACAAATAACATGCGCAAACACACGGCACGACGGCGGAGAAGCGCACACCGAAAGGATGAGGCCCTCCACAGCAGTCACAGCCCACCGCACGCATCACACCCGTAGGAAGAGTGACTCGTGGTGCGCGCTCCCTCTCTCCTCCTTCTCTTCATGCCCACGGAGGAAGCAGCTGCCACCCGCAACCGCCAGCACACGCCACAAAAGAAGCATCCAAATCGAATGAAATGTGCATTTTGTGCGTGCATGTGGTTGTGTGTGCCTGCAGACACACAAAGCAAAGAAGTGGAAAAGAGGAAGCAGAGTATGTGGAGAGGCGCACAAAAATGTACAGCGGAGGTGCGTGGCGGAAGCAACAAGAAGAAGACCGCTCAAACTCATGACTGCACTGCCGTCCAAGCAGTGGCAATTCACACAAGATTTATTTAAAACAAAAAGAAAACCATCCCCTTCATCTTACACAAACCCCATCACACAAAATAATTATAAATAAAAAAAAGAAATCGTCCATTACTGTTCCACACAAATTTAAAAAAGCAGCTGGCTGCCGTGTGGCCACACCGAACTGTCTGTATATATTTTGCCCAAAAAATTTAAAAATTAAAAATATATTTAAATCTCTTTCAACCGTCCGACCCTCTGTGTGTCCGCACACCGTTTATATTTCATGGGGTCATCTGCGTGTTGCTGCTCCCCTCAGCCCTCTCATCGGCGTGCGAGTGCGGCCCGCAGAGCACAGTCACTCGTGTGTGTGGGGACTGAGAAAAGCACGCAGACATGACGGGAGTCGCGTCTCTCCATCGGGAGAGTGAGCGCAGCAAAAGAAAAAAAAACACGGCGGCAGGGTGTGGCTGTGTGTGTGGCGCTGCGGGTGTCTGCCCGCCCTGGCAGCAAAGAAAACAAAACAAGAGGGAGAGAAATGTGTGCTCCGCCCCACAGGCCCTCGTCGCACGCCCACACGTCACGGCTCCCTCAGCGCGCCGTTCGTCGCGGCCCCTCCTCATGCGTGCAGCAGGCGAGGCGCACAGGGCCGTCGTCATGAGCGTGTCGGTGGTGTGCGAGTGGAGCAGTTGGGCGGAAACACACGGCACCCCTCACAGGAAGAGTGCAGCAACAAACAATTAAAAGAGTAGAAAATAAAAAACGTCCATCGTGATTGCCCCAAAAGCAAAAAAAAAAAAAGATATGGGGGAATGAAAAATAAAAAAACAGACGAAAATAAATAACGGAAAAAAAGATTTTTAAGGACACACACGCGCAAAACGAAAAAAAATCATGAATTACAAACAGAAAGCAAGAAAAGAAAATTATATTAAGGAAAAAGTTAGTTCTTGGAATTAATTCCGTGCAGGGGAGGCCGCAAGTGTCCCACGCGGCAGCCAGTCACGCCTCACAGAGCCGCAAACCCCCACAGTCCCAACAGAAGAAGCAGCGATGGCAGCAGTCCGTTCTCATGCATGGTGCAGGCATCGGTGTTATTCCCCTGCGACACATTTCCGAGGCTGCTGCTGAGGGCCGCAGCCTTTACGTCCCCGTTCTGTGCGTGGATCCCCTCCTTCTGCCCATCCGTTCCTCCTTCTCTTGTCTCCACCGTTGGCTCGCCATCAGAAAAAGAACCGCCATCCACAGTTTGAGTTCCATCAGAAGATTCTTCTGACACCAACTGGGTTGCGGACACCTCTTCTCCTGAGGAAGTCTTGGCACTGGGCACTGTTGGTGCGGATACACCGTTCACACCACTGCTCTCCAACGACTGTCTCGGTTCCTCCGGTCGTCCACCAGGAGAAGTCTCAATCGCGCCTCCCTCAACAGACCCGTCCAACTGAACTGGAATATTGGCTTTATTCGGGTTAAACGCAGTAATCTCATCTTCATCCAACGGGCGGTTGTACAGCAGGACGTTCGTCACAGTCACAGACACTTCTTCTCGACTTTCTTTGTTTTCTCCATCCCCTCCAATGTAGAAGTGGGAGATCTCTTTCGACTCACCATTGCCCAATGCACATTCTCCATTCCCCACACGCTGACCATCGACATACACGGAGCCCTGGGTGCCGTTCTGAAGCACAATGGCCACCTGGTACTGTGTCCCTGTCTCCCAGCCGCTGCTGAGCTCCTCAGGGTTTCCGTCACAGCACAGTACATGCCACTTCTTTTCGCTGTTGTACGACAGTCCCAGCAGTACATTATTTTCATCGCCATTCATCTTCGCACCCATCAAAGAGACGCTGCCACTCTTCGGCACATTGTCGATGGACACCGTCGCCACAAGAGTGAAGTTGTAGTTCGCGAAGTGGTACAGCTGATTCTCCCCTTGACTGCCAACAGGCCACTCCGCCCCTGCGCCACGCCCAGTGAACTTCACGCCATTTTTCGTGCTGGCCAATGCTGCCGCTGATGTCCCGTCATTATTCTTTACTGTGGCGTTCACGCCGAGGTACTCGTCCCTCCATGTGTTCTCAGAGAGGTTGCCGGACAAAAAGCCAACCAGCCCAGCCGTGATCTTAGCAGCACTGCAGGCATCGCCGGTTGAGGCACGCTCCTTCTGAGCACTTAATGAGGTGCACAGTTTGGAGACACGGCCGTCCACATCCTTCCAGGTCGCCAGCACCTCCTTCACACGCTTCAGCTGCTCTGTCAAAAGCACAGAGACCATACCGGGTGATGGTTTCCCTTCATCACTGCCCTTCTTCTTCTCGTACAGTGCAATCAACTCCTCATCATTATCATCAGTTTTACCACTGTTGTACAACAGGGAGCTGGCGGCAGCGTCATCATCTTCACCGGATACCGGCCCAATATCAACAACGTGCGTATTGTCCGTCAGCCAAAGATGAAGTTTGCCCTTTTCTTTGCCGTCCTTCTCTGAATACACCGGCAGAGTGACGAGCATCACTTTTTTATCATCAACACCATCATCTCCAACAGTCGCTGTGATGAACCCGCTTCTAACGAGTTTCACATTTCCCTTGTGTTTGTTGCCCCACACACGCGAGAGTGTCCCGAGGGCCTCCGTCCACGACTCCCCCTTGTCACCGATCTCGTACACCCTGCGAGGGCCACCAGCACACGCAGTCATCATGATGAGTTTTCCCTCCTCCCACTCCACGACGGAGGGGTCACTGCAGCCACCGTCAGACATCCCCTTCGACAGCGTCCAATCCGTAGCTTCCTTCGACTGTATGATCAGTGAGACAGTCTTCACATCCACTACAGTGCCCTCCGCCGCCTTCTTCGTGCCTTCCACAGGAAACACAAGAGTCTCGTCCTTCATCTTAACACCCGATCCACCGCTTCCAATCAGCCTTGTCCAGGAATCGAGCTGTGTGCCAAAAAGTCTTTGCGGGGAACTTTCAGTAACTTCCCAGTCAATTTTCTTGCTATTTGTATCCCCACCACTATTGACGCTCCCTTTCACCAGCAAAAGTCCCAATTGAGCCGCGTCAGGCTTGGCATCCTGTCGAGGAGCGGCAACTCTATTGTAGACTCCAACAAGCATGTAAATATCATCCCCCTTCAAAACTGTTGTTGGTCGGCTCACATCTACTTTCTTCTTTTGACCTCCGGAAGCACCTTCCTCCAGTACTTGTGTCCAAACTTTGGGTTTTTCCAGAACTTCCTCCTGTGTCTCAGCAGTTTCTGTCGTGAGAAGTGGGATG